CCTGACCACGTGGTTCCCTTGCAGCCCTGGTGACCCCAGGCAGGGAGACTGGCACCATTTTCATTCTCACAGATGAGGACACTGAGGCTCAGGCTGAGTGATTTGCCCAGGGTCCGTGGCCAGGAGGTGACAGGCAGAAGTGCAGGCCATCTGTCCCTAGACCGTGTTCTTAGTCACTGCCACCTGGCCTCCCTGCTGGAGGTGCCCCAGGTGGCTGCGGCCGTCTTGGCAGTTTTGGAGTAGGGGCTTTGGCACTCTTACCACCACCCCCCGCCCCGCCGGGACATCCGGTGGCCTATCTGGCCTGGGCCCTGTGGCATTTCTTATGACAGCAACCAGGAGGGGCTGGTGATGCGTGTGCTGGGTCAGACCCCTCTGAGACCAGACTGATAGTGCTGGGGCAGTGATGTTCGCAGTGCCACTGTGTGCCATAGGAGGGGATGGTGTTGTGTGCCAGGCCCGTCCCCATGTGGGCCACTTGCTGCTGGGCGAAGGTCAGGTGGAGCCCAGGATACCACTGAGCAGAGGCAGAAGCAGAGGCTCCCGGGCTGTCCCTGGCAACCTTCTGTCCTCAGCACACCGCAGAGCACGTGCTGTCACAGACACTGAGCCCCTGGTGTCCCGCAGGAGGCAGCCCTGCTCCTGCAGCAGCCCAGGCAACCTACTGGGTGCACCTCTGAGCCCCAGCCCTCTCCTGCTCAGCTGGAGGTCTGCTGCCTGCTGAGATGTCACTTCATGGCCTGCAGCACCGTTCTTCCTGCTGTGCTGCTGTTGGTGCCGTCAGTGGCTTCGCGTCTGTCAGGGACCCCTGCACAGTCCTTGTTACAGCTTTCATAGTACCCAGCGCTCAAGGTTTGAAAAGCAAGGGTCCCCTGGCCACACAGTGAGTGACAGAGGTAGGACCCCCCATGCCAGCTCACATCGTTCCATCCAGTCAAGCCCAGAACTGTGGGGCAACCTGCCTTGGGATGTTGAGCACCGTGCCCAGGGTGGTGGACCCGCACCACCCCAGACCACCTCCGCCTGGATCAGTGCCTTCCTGCTAGTTCAGGGGTCACCTCAGCCCAGCCCTGTGTGCTGTGTCATCACCCCCACCCCCACCCAGTCCCGGTGCCCCTACACCCTGTGCCTTCAGGTGACCGAGCAATGCCTGATCTGAGACAGAGGTCGGGGGAGCACAGGAGCAGCGCATCCTGCTGTCCCCGGAGCCTGCGGACAGGGACACTTGGTCCATTGTGCTGTCCTTGGCCTGGTGCTGTGGTTCAGAATGTCTCTCTGGAGCATCAGGCCATCCCCACAGGTGCTGTTCCTGCAGGGCCTGAGCCTCCTCTGCGTCTGTCAGTGAGAAGCCTTGAACACGGCAGGTGTTCAGGGGCGCTGTCCTTCCTTGGTGCTGATCGGTGGCTCCCGAGTCCTTCGCTCAGCTGCCTTTGGCTTCTGTCCTCAACCAGGGAGCCCGCAGCCTGGGAGGAGCCCTTAGTTGGGAGCTCCTGGTGCACAGGCTCCAGGTCTGGCGGCCCTCAGTCTGGGCCCCGGGGTGCATATGACAGCCTGTGGCCGACGCGGCCCTGTGGTGGCTGTGAAGTGTGCGCGGGAATCGGGGCGTCTTGGGCAGAGCTCGCCCTCTGAGACTGTGTGTGAACCAAGCAAAGGCTCTGCTGGCAGCGCCTCCGGGCGTGGTGGCCTCGGTTATGGATCCAGGACAGGCCCTTCCCATCTGAGCTCCCAGCCCGGGCTCCCTGAGCCTGGACGCCCCTCTGCCAGGTTGGGTCGGTGTCTGGCTCTTTTCCTCCTGGGAGGCAGAGCAGGGACTCAGCTTCCTGGTTCTAGGGCCTCACCCGGCTGTTTTTATGGGTTTAATTTAAACAAGGGCTTCTTGATATCTTGTTTACGGAGCTGCCAGAGTGAAAAATTCCTGTATTATATGAGGCTCGAAGTCCTCGAGTTATCTCAGCTGCACAACACACAACATCATTATCCTGCTGGCCCTTATCACTCAGCGAGGCTGCGCTGCAGACCCCACGCCACCCTGCCGAGTGACGGCAGCCGCGCTGCCTCCACCCTGCGCCCGCCAGGATCCCGCCACAGCCTCCTCTTGATAGATTAGATATCTCCCGGTGATCTGTGCAGGCCGGGGAATCTTTAGAAGTAACTTTCTTGATTTATTTAACCATCATATTTATCAAACAGCCTAAAAAGTCTCCCTTCTTGCCCAAGCGCTCCTAGGCAGTGATGCCCAACTCTGTAGGAAGAGTGCAGCTGTGGAGGAGCGGGCAGGCTGGGAGGAGCGCCCGGCTCCCCGGCGCCAGGTGGGCTGCGGGGGGGTGCCCTTTAGTCGGGTGGGCGCCATGCGCTGGCTGTGCTGCCATCAGGTAGACTTCAAGGTGGTCCGTGCCCCCGAGGGTGCAGCCACCAGCCTCCCGCCCTACAGGCCGGGCAGGGTGAGATGGCAAGCGTTTCAGGCACCTGGTAAGACCAGGGTGAGCTCCATGCCATAGCTGTGGCCTGGACTCACGAGGCCCTGGGTGCCACCCCTAACCCCGCAACTCCAAACACTTGTTCAGGGTGGGAGAGCTGAGGCGGGCCGATGCTGATTGTTTTCCTCCTCTAAAAGATCATTAAAATCCGAGCCCAGACGGAGGGGATCAACATCAGCGAGGAGGCGCTGAACCACCTGGGTGAGATCGGCACCAAGACCACTCTGAGGTGAGAGGGCACTGCCTGCCCTGGCACGGCCTCCGCCTGCTGCTGGGGTTCGAGTTCAGGGTCTGGGAGGGAACTGCGCAGTCGGTGAGCGGGGCCCGTCCTCCGGAGGCCTGGTGGCGGGGAGCGGGAAGGACAACGTGGGTAGATAGGGACGGCTTCCTGTGGCCGCTAGCACTCCTGGATGGGTCGTGGCTGCAGTGCTCAGAGATGGCATCTTGCTTTCCCGCTGCATCTGCAGTGAGTGGCTGAGGCCAGCATGGGGCTCAGCTCCCGGGGCCTGTGCTGCCCGGGGGTGGGGGCCCCTTGGTGCCCAGGCTCACCAGGCCCTGTGCCCTGCAGGTACTCAGTGCAGCTGCTGACCCCCGCCAACCTACTGGCCAAGATCAACGGGAAGGACGGCATCGAGAAGGAGCACGTGGAGGAGATCAGCGAACTCTTCTATGACGCCAAGTCCTCAGCCAAGATCCTGGCCGACCAGCAGGACAAGTACATGAAGTGACAAGGTCGAGCGCCCGGGCCCAACCTGGGGGCATGGTCTGCAGTGCTGCCGTGTGCCGAAGGCTTATTTTAAGTTATCGTTATTCTCCTGTGGTTGCTTTGAAGGAACCCTTCCTTACTTATGTTTGCTAATAAAATCTTATAGATTATTTTTTATGATACCTCTCTTTAAGTTTTTTTTTTTTTTGAGACCCTCACAGGCTGCTTTGTAGCCCAGGCTGGCCTTGAACTCATGGTATCCTCCTGCCTCAGCCTCCTGAGTACTGGGATTACAGGCATGTGGTCCTCCTTTAAGTTTTTTGAAGCTAAACTTTTGTAGCATGTCTGAGGCCCTGAGTTCCATCCCCAGTGCTGCAAACAATCACCACCAAATGCGTTACATTTCAGAGCAGTATAGACTCACAGGGTCATTGTGGAGGTGGTGTGGGAAGTCTGGGGAGCCCCGCAGCCAGCCTTGTCACTGACACCTGAATGGCTGGCATGTTGGTCACATGCGGTTCTGTCCTTTCCCACCCACGATGCCTGGCCGTTTATCTCCAGGGTTCCTCCTGGCGATCCCCGTGTCTCAGGTTTTCCTTATTTTTGGTGGCTTCGGCATTCAGACAAGGACTGGTCAGGTTTTGTGTCTCATGTCCCTTGGGTGAGGTTTGTCTGATGCTTTTCTCCTCATGGCCTGGGACTGTGGGTTGCGGGAGGACCAGGCGGAGATTGCCCTTCTGCTCAAGTCTCGGTGTGGTGCTGCTGGCCACCTTGACCTCCCAGCTGGGGTTGCGTGGGCCAAGGTTCCCTGCCGCCCTCCACCCTGTGCTCTGTGCCACCCCTCTTCCCGGGCAGGGCTGCAGTCCTCTCGGGCTGCGTGTTTACCTCAGGGGTTGGGAGCCCTTCGCCCAGAGACGGCCTCGTCTCCCGTTGTTTATGGACCCTTGGGTGCCGAGTGTGTACCTGCGGCTGTAGCCTCCCACTTGTCCCGCTTTGGCCTTTGAGTGCTCATCACATTGGCTTTTGTGTCCCTTTAGCTTGTCCTTGTCACTGTGGCTATCTCTGGGGCAGCCCCCAGCAGCCCCTAGCTGGAAGTTCCTTGCCCTGGGGACAAGCAGCGTCTTGTGTTACCAGGCGGTGGGGAGGTGCGATGTGACCGTGTGCCCACCTGGGTCTGGCTGTTGCTTTAATTCAAGCACGAAGGGTCCAGGAGGCCAGACGCGTCTCGTCCCTCGGGCTGACCCACAGCCGCAGGCCGGCTCAGTGTCGTGGCTGGGGTGCGCTGTGTGCCGGGGACCACCTTAGTGCGTGGCATTTGTCTGCCCTCCTGGGGAAGGCCAGGAGCCGTGTGGAGGACAACGAGCTGCAGGTGCAGGGGCCCACGCGAGTCTGTGCCTCTCACTCCCGTGGCTACGCCGTCTGCCTCAGTGTGTGCGCCTCCACTCTTGATGTAGCAGGAGGAGGCCGGTTATGAGATGAACCGGGGCAGCAGCAAGGCCGACACATCCGTGCTGAGGAAGGGCCTGGGAGCAGGCCCCTGCCCTGGCTGGCTCTGGCGTCAGTGTCGGGAACCCCACAGCACAGGAGAAGCAGCGGAGAGCCCTGTGATGGTGGACCTGACCACGGCCTCGACGGTGTCCCTCACCTGCCCAGGTCCCCTGGGACCAGGGCAGTTGGTTCGGAAGGGGCGTGTGCCCTGCTCCTCTGGGACCCTGGGTTCTGCCCCTCGGCGTCCTGGCCACGGCGGTGCCAGGACACGGAGATGGCTCTGGACAGGTAGGAAGGTTTGGTTATTTTAATTTCCCTCCTATTTTTTCCCCGGAAAGGCCTGTGATTATTACATTAATCTTCCAGGCGAAGTTTTTACGACCAATCCCTCGTAGACTATGAGAAGTTTCTCCATCCATTACCAAGAGGGAAACAGACCCTGGTGGGGAGGAAAATATTTGTTACATCTTATCAGCCTGACACACAATCTAACAACAATTACAGCAGCCCCATTTTTTGCACTATTTCAGCTCTAGCGTGAAAAATTGTTGTAATATTAAAGTGAGGTGGGGTGGGGGCTGGCCAAGGCAGTGGCTGAATATTCTGAGTGCGGCCCAGGCCCTCGGCTGCCTCCCAGCGAGGGATTGGGTGGTCAGGACATAAATCCCAGTCCCTGTCTGCTCTGCTAATGGCCCTGATGCCAGGGAGCCGGAAGGGCTCTTGAAAGACACTCCCAGCCTGGCTGGCAGATCTGGTCCCCTGCTGTGGTCCCCGCAGACCCCTACCTTAGGGTCGCCCCTGAGGTTGACGGGCAGGAGACACAGGGTCACACCTGCTCAGCCCAGAAAGTGACTTGCAATGCAGTGGAGTTGCCAAAGGAGGTCACACCCTGTCCCCTCGCCTCTGGTCCCTGGGCCCGCTCCAGAAGGCTCTGCTCTGGAGGATGGGTGCAGCAGAGCCCTGCTCTGGAGGCGGCAGGTGCAGCAGAGCTCAGGCTGCATCGCCAGTGTTGTCCCCCTCACCCCCGCCCTTGGTCTGGACAGCGGCCCCTCCCTCCTCCAGCCTCAGCAGCTGTGAGCAGGTGGGACAGCTGAGTCCCACAGACTGCTGCGTGGGTTTTGTGAGGTGACAAACCTTCAAAGGAGAGGTCCTAGCCCTGTCCCTCTTGGAAGAAGGCCACAAGCAGTTCTGCACACAGGAGCCAGCACCCTGCAAGGCCTCACTGGTGCCCTCACCTATGCCAGAGTTTGGAGGGACTCTGAGGGCCCCCCAGTTTGCGGAGCCCTGAGCCCCTTGTCCCTGTCCTCCACTTCCAAGATCCTGGGTCTAGTCCTCTCCCTGCGCCCGAGGGACCCCATCCTGGGGCTGCCCGACCAGGGGGAGAAGTGACCCATTTGTCGCAGCCAGCAGTGGTGCTGGCCAGGCTGGGCCAGCTGCCCTTGCATGTGGTTGTACGCAGCCCCGTGTCACCTCTGTCCCCTGCCTTCTCCGCCCCCCTTCCTCAGGGTGGGCCGCTCCCCCTCGGCTGCCTCTAGGACCGCAGCCTGGCCGCCCCGTCGCTGGCCGTCACTCGCGGCAGGCGGTGATTAATGGCCGGCCGTGCCGCCCGCGTCGCGTGCGATGGATGCGCTGTCATCGCGTCGCCGCGCTGACCCCGGCCCGGCCGGGATCAATGGCGGCGGGGCGGCGGCTGGGCCGGCGCGATAAGCGCGATGGGCGCCGCGATCGCGCCCCACCGCCGCCTCCCCGCGTCAGCTCCGCGTGATTAATGGAGCCACGGGCCCGGGGCGACATGGCGGGGCGGGGACGTGGGGACCTGGGGACGAGGAGCGGCGGCCGGAGGGACCCAGAGCTATCTACATGACCGCACCACGTCCTGCGCGGAAGGGGTAGCTGCGGGGACTTACTGGGGTTCTGGGGGACTTGGGCAGCGCAGCTCCTCCTCGTGACCCTCCCTGGGATCTGGCCCAGGATTGCCAGGCCACAGTACCGCTCAGAGGTGGTGGTCGGGAAGACCCCGCCCCTGTCCAGCCCAAGAGGGCGTGACCAACCCGTGCCCCGCCCCTGCTCAGAGTCACCAGGGGGCTTGGCTGTGCTTTGAAATTTCAAAATACTATACATGTGTGTAGATATGTGTCTAATTTTTTAGATATTGACTGAATGACTAACAGGGTCTCCTTATGGGGCCAGCCAGGCTGGCCTCAAACTCCCAGTGATTGTCCTGTCTCAGCCTCTTTACTGTGGGGATTACAGGTGGGGACTAACACCCCTGGCTATGTTTGTAGTTGGTTTTTGTTTTTGTTTTTATGAGACAGGGTCTTACTGTATAGTTCAGGCTGCCCCTGAACTTACTATGTATCCCAGGGTGGACTTGAACTTGCTGCAGTCCTCCTGCCTCAGCTTCCCAAGTGCTAGGATTAGAGGGATGTATGACCATGCCTGGCTTGTAGTTTGTTTTGAAGTCTGACACACAGTGAAGAGCACACATTTTAAGCGGACTGCCCTGAGAGTGCTGACAAAGGAAGATCCCACCTCTATCAGGGTTGCCGCTGTGCCGGGGGTGCTGTGCCTCCCTGACCCTCCCCAGCACCCTGAGGCCTTGCTTAGCCTGCCTTCTGTGCTGATTGCTTCCTTGGGGCTGTGCTCTGGAGCCCTCGGGTGTGGCCCAGCTCACCGGTCCTTCCTGCTTCGACTTCGGGGGCCCTGCTCAGCCATGGGGACCATTGTTCCTGTACTGGTCCTGCCGGGAGCTGTGGCTGGCCAGGAGATGTGGCTCTAGTTTAGGAGTTTCCTAGGCCTTTTTCTGGGGCACTGTCTAGATTTTACCCATTCCCCACCCACACTTTTAACACACATAGCTTCAGACAGTTCTGCTGCTGCCTGCTCTTTTGTGTTTCCCCTGACAGCCCATCTTGGAGGTTCTCAGAGCGTACAGAAGTGTTGTCATCTGTCTGGGCCTGTTTGCAGCCTGAGTGGGATTTGAAGGATGGAAAGGAGTTTGGCAGACAGAAAGCACAGGCTCTGAACTTAGCGCACGTCAGAGCCCACTTGCTGGGGCATGAGCTCCCGAGGGGTGGAAGTGGCTTTCACCCCACTGACCGTAATTCTTGTGGAGTGCAGTGGGTGGTGGGCCCTGGGAGGGCTGGGGCAGGAGCTTCCTGAGGGTGTCACCGGCGTGGCCCAGGAGCGGGCCAGGGGACGGTGTGGGTCGGTGGTGTTAGGGACAGAGGACGACAGGCAGAGCAGTAGGGAAGCTGGTGCCTCCTGGCTTCATTCCACCTACCAGGCCCCTGGAGGGACCTACAGGCAGGGCCAGCAGCCAGAGGGACTCAGGCCCGAAGAGCCTGGACCTCGGATCCCTGCCCTGCCCATGTGTGTGTGCCACTGCTTCCCTGGGCCTGTTTCTTCAGCTGTTTCCCTCTGGGCTCCACTGGGGGTGACCTGAAGTCACACGTAGCCAGTGAGTGGCACAGCACAAGCCGCACGGGAGCAAGAACAGCAAGCCATGTGAGGCAGGTGGAGCCAGCGCTGCCGATGCGCAGGTGCTGCCGAGCTGGGCTCCTGCTCTGCCCTCCGCGCCCGTCCCCAGGGTGCCCAGGCTGTGGGGGAGCCGCACTTCCCCCATGGGTTTCCTCAGCTCAGACTGTGCCCAGCCGGTGGACACTGCTGCACACACCCACCCCGAACGTGAGCGCACAGCAGATTGTTGCTACCGGGCAGTGCCCGAGGGGGACGTCTACTGGGCACCCTGGAGCCCCAGCCAAGCCTTTGATGCTAACGGCCCATGAGAACTTTGTGCTCCTGCCCGCCTTTCAGGAAATAAACACTTTTTTCTCTTAAAAAAAGGGGACTTGACCGAGCAGCTTGTAAAAAGTTGGCTTTATTCATCACATATTCACTGTATCTGTTGTGCCATTTTGGCGTCCACAGTGACAGTCCCCTGGAGGCCAGGATCAGCCCCCAGCCACCCCATGGCCGCCAACCGCAGGGAGAGCCCGGCCGTGGCTGCGGTGGCACAGGGCACAGGGGCAGCTGCTCAGGACTGGGTCTGACAAGGCCACGTGTGATATGGTGTGAGCCAGTGAGGCGAACCTCTCAGAGCTTTCAGTTATGCAAGTGTGGTAGGTTCGACGCCACTGGTGGGAGCCCTGGCTTCTGGGAGGGGCCTGCCCTGCCCTGCCCACCCCGGCCCGCGCTGGACCGCTCAGCACTGCCAGCGAGGTCTCGGTCAGGACAAAGCCCGAGAGGGTGCTGTGCGCCTGGGCCAGACGCCCTGGTCCCACCTGTGGCTAAAGTCAGCCCAGGGCCTTTCCCATCCTGAGAGGGCCTCCCTGAGGCGGGGAGGCTTTGCCCTGTCATCCTCATCGCCTGTCCTCCCAGGCAAGCGGGCTTCAGACACGACTGTCTCAAACTGCAGCCATGTCCCCCGAGAGCCCACCGCCTGGACTCTGACCCCTGCCTGCATGCTGGTCCCGCTCATGGCCCTGGTGAAGGCCAGGACGAGGCTGGTGGGGTCTGGTCACCTGCTTGCGTGCATCTGGGCCCTAGGAGATTCTGAAACACAAGTGGGAGGTGGAAGTGGAACATGAGCCTCTCCCTTCTGTGTCTAGCGGTGGCTATAAGGGACCCCCTCTCTGGGGACTGAGGGAAGAGTGAGCACAGCCACAAGGAGATGGCCCAAGGATGACAGGCAGCACCGGGCCGGGCAGCCTGTCCGGAATGATCCACGGTGCGTGCAGTGAGTTCTGGGGAACGTGTCCCCGAGGAGACGCTCTGCCTTAAGACTCTGCTGTAGAAAGAGAACAGCGGAGTCTCTAGCAGAAGTCTTAAGCCAGACTCTCCCGGGGGGACAGTGAGGGAGAAGCTGGGGCTCCGACCACGGCCCCCGAGGCCACGTGTGCTGCTCCAGCGTTGCCTGAAGGGGTTTCAGTGTTTGTGCTTCCAACCAGAGTGGGGCACTGCCCACCCACGTGGGGGACAGTGGGGACCCCTGCAGCCTTGAGGGTTCAGACAAGTGATGCGGACACTTGGGGACAGCTGCTTACCACCCCAACTCTGGTGGCCAGCTGACGAACACTTCCTTCTAGTTTTTTGCCAGTGCTGGGAAACTAAAAGCAAAATTTCAAACTGGAAAATTTCTAGTACTTTACACGTGGAATGAAAAAACACGAAATTAAAAACCCATCATTAAACACAAGTCCATATGCCACGGCAGTATTCTGCAGCAGGGCTCCTTCGGGTGGCTCCCGGCCGCCTGCTCAGAACAGAAGTGCGCCCATGCTGCCAACCTCGCTCTGCTCCTTCACGAAGATTTCAAAGTACTGGTAGATGATGGTCACCGCCAGCAGGATCCCAGTTCCAGACCCGATGGCGCCCAGGAAGTCAGCCAGGACTGAGAGGGCCCCGATGCAGAGCCCGCCGAAGGCTGCAGCGGTGGGGATGTACCTGGGGGCGCCGGACATGGTCAGCTCTGGATCTCTGGAAGGGCTGGACCCCCTTTCCCCCGCTACTGGCCAGGCTAAGACCAGAGGTGTCCTGTAGGCAGGCCGAGTGTGACCGAAAACGTGACAGTCCACATGGGAGACTGACAATGTTACACGAGACTTCTGAAGAGCTAGCTTGGAAACAAGAGTATAGGACATCGTGCCATGACTTTCCCTACATGGATGCAGTCTGAAGTGATACTCTGGACAGGCTGAGTTAGATCCAGATATTAAAAGTAACCCCGACTGCCAGGCCTGTCTGCCACGCTGTTTCCTCCTGCCTGAGCTGGGCCCAGGCTCCCTTTTTGGGAGGAGCTCAACACATTCATTTTTACGTCTCCAGGATCCATACTTTAGCAAGGTTGTAAATATTTAAGGTCACGGAGACCTTTTCTAACCTACAGCACAAAGAGGAGATTCAGTGACCCAGAAAACAGCATGGCCCGGACTGTGTGGCAGGCAGGTACACTCACCGGTTGAGCTCATGGACCATGGATGTCTCACGGTGGCCTCGCATCACCATCTGCTGCTCCTTCAGCTGCTTTGCAACCTGCGTGAGGCCCACAGTGAAAGACATGCTCAATTTTACTCACTTATTATTATTTTTTACAATGGTAGGGATTAAACCCAGGGCCTTTGCACCGACCTACATCCCCAGCCCTTTTTGTTATTGATACAAGTTTTGACAAGCTGCTAAGTTGCCCTGTGATTCTCCTGCTTCAGCCTCCCAGCGCTGTGGTGACAGGCATGCACCCACAATGGCTCCAATTTTAAACGAGGCGCTGAGGGGAAGTGGACCATTTCATTGTTCCTCTTCAGCATGAACAGTATTTACAGAGAATTTCACAACTGGCGCAAGGACTCATGGATGAAGCTGAAGCTGCCTTTCAGCGACCCAGTGCTGGCCGTCAGGGACCCAACTGCAGGCATCGCACACCACCAGCTGGAAGAGATGCTGCTGAAACCCCATGGGGCAACATGTCGCCTTGCAGAGATGCCCGCTACTCACGTCTTTCGCAGAGGAGCCTGAGACCTCGATCCAGGTCTTGGAGAAGAAGGCGCAGGAGCCCAGCATGAACACGATGTACACCACTGCATGGACCGGGTCCTCCAACACCGAGCCGAACGACTCTGGAGGGGACAGGTAGTAGCACAGGCCACCAACTGGGTACGCACGTGCCGGGCCTCCGGAGGATGTGTCCTGGGTGAAGGAAATAGAAAGCCTGAGAACGGCGTCTCCACAAACCTTAGCACAGGACCAGAGTTCTGAGCAGAGGAAGAACAGTTTCACTTAGGTGCCTGCAAGACAGCTTTCTTTAGGAAAAGAGAACTTCATGCTCTGAATCTGTGAAAGGCATCATTGCAGGTGACCTGTGGTGACACAGCTGGTCCTGAGGAGGACAAGGCACATGACACACGCCACCCACCAGAGGACAGTTGCCGGCTCCACCGAACTTACAGACCAGGTGCCCAGCAGGCTGACAAGCAGGTTGCCGCTGAAGCGTGCTGACAACATCTGCGAGATGACGTAGAGGTTGGACACCAGGGCGGACTGCAGGATGATGGGGATGTTGGAGGTGTAGAAGAGCTTGATCGGGTAGGTGTTATACTGGCCTCGGTAGCGCGCAGACTTGATGGGCAGGTCCACCCGGAAGCCCTGGGAAGCAAGAGAACACGATGCCCACCGCCTAGCCAGCCCCCGACGCAGAGAGGCAGCTGGGCTTCCTCGCCCTCTGCTGTACCTGGGCGCATGCAGTGGCCCAGCCAGACCAAGCACAGCAACAGAACGATCCCAGTCTGACAAAAGCCAAAATCTACCCACATGGTATTCATCTCATGTGGCTTAGATAAAAAGCGTGCAAAGATGTGAACCCAAATCCCAAAGCGGGTCTCCAGGTGTGGTCAGTCCTGTGCTGTCATAGGGGCTGCTGGCTGTCCTCAGGATGGTCTTTTCCAATGCTGTGGTTTCTGGCAGTCTTGCGGACGGAACCCAGGCCTGCACATGCTAGGCAAGCATTCTCCACTGAGCTACATTCCCTGTCCTTTTGATTTTTTATTTTGAGACAAGGTTTCACTGTGCAGCCCAGACTGGATCATACTTGTGATCTACTGCCTCAGCCTGCTCAGCAGTGGTACTACAGGTGGTGGCACCGCGCCCAGCCTTTACAATGCTCTTATCAACAGAAAAGCTAAAACTTCTACCAATACAACTACTCCCTCTGAAGCCCTTGGAGACTAGCAAGCTTTCCATTATATGTTTACAACTCCCCAGGCCTGGAGCAGGGCTTAGAATACAAAGGATTTAGAATAAACTCTTAATGGGCTGGGTGTGGCGCACATGGCTATAATCCCAGCACTTGGGATGTTCCAGGTAGGAGTTCAAAACCACCCTGGGCTACACAGCGAAACTGTACCTCAAAAAGAAAAGAAAAAAAAAATCACTCCAATTACAGAAAGGCCAGCTAGCAGTCAGGTTCTCCTAGTGCGAAGCCAGTTAAACAGACTTAGCAACTTTAAACCCGAGGAGTCTCAAGAGGCAGGGCCCTTCCCTGGTGAAGACAGCAAGGAGCTACAAGAGCTGGGAGGGACGCACCTGGAAGTAGATGACCACAGCGAAGACGAAGATAGTGGCGATCAAGTTCATGAGGTTGGGGAGGTTCTGGCGGTAGAAGGCCTCGCGCAGGGCTCGGACTTTGTCCGTGCGTGTGGCCAACAGGTGGAAGAGTGCGATGATGGCGCCTTCGAACTCCATGCCTGTTGGGGAGGGAAGGCAGAGGCAGGGTGAGGGAAGGACCAAGATACTCAGCTCACCTCTTGGCCTTCTGAGTGGCCAAGGAAGACAGAACTGGCTGTGACATCCACGGCACACACTCGCCTATGGCCACAAGAATACGGTACAGGTTAATCTCCTCCCATTTCTATTTCTCCTACAGAGAACTCAACCAGCAGCAATGGGCTGCTCAACCCACTGCTCACGCCTGGGCCCGAGGCGGCCCGCTGTGGGGAAGGATGACGCCAGTTTAGAAGGCCTCCACACAGAGGGCGCTGGGCTCTTGCTGGAATGGGCCACAGGAGTCCAAGCATCCACCCTTGCTCTGCAGCTCAGGTGGCCCGCACCTACAGCCAGCTGTGCCTCACTTGAGGTGACCACTGTCAGGCTGTCACGGGGCGGACCCAAGCCTGAGTTCACGCCCGGCTGCGGGACACTGTGGAGGCGGCAGGAAGCAGGGAGCCAGCCGAGGATGATGGGCAGCTGGAGCATGGCACACGGAGGCCCAGACATGGCAAAGCAGCAGACATACAGGGGAAGACAAATGGTAAAAAACAAGAAGACAGCATCACTGTGAGACCCTTGCTGTACCAGGACAGTGTCGCACAGGAACCAGGAGGCTGACACTTTTCAGAGATGTGGCTCTGGGCAGTGCTGGCCGATGGCACTGGGACAGAGAAACACCAGTCCTGCCTGGGATGGCCAGGCCACTGGGAGATGGGTACTGTCCAGCTGACCATCCAACAGCACCCCTCTGGCTCAGGGGTGGCTTCTGTGACAAACATGTGGCCCTACTCTCCCTGGCTTCCTTCTCTCAGCCTGTGACATCTTCTTGTTATGGTTTGTGTCTGAATGCTCCCCTAAAGCCTCATGCAGTCATGGAGCAGGCTTCTAGAGTGATTGATTTACTGTCAAATGCTGGGATTATGGGTGTGAGTGCTATACCTGCCCTGGGGTGGATAGTTTGCACACATACAATGTAAGGGAGGAAAAGAGGCTACCTGCCTCTGCTCCTCCCTTTGCTCTTGTTGCTTTACTATCTTTCACAGTCATGAACTGTTGCCCTCTGCCATGTGCCACTCTGCCTTGGAGCCAGCCAAGTATGGACTGAAACCTCCACAAACCGTGAGCTAAATAAACCTTTCCTTCCTTCATTTTGGGCATCAGGTATTTTGTTTCAGCAACAAAAGTAAAGTAACCAAGACAGTTCAAAAAACACACCAAAACCACACACAAAAAAAAACAAAACCAGCAATAGGCAGGGGATATAACTTAGTGGCACAAGCACTTGCCTGGCAAGCGCAAGGTCCTGAGTTCGACTCCTGGTACCAAAAAAAAAAAAGTAACCAAGTCACTTCTGTTGGTCCCTGCCTTCCCAACTTTGGGTGTGGGTGACAGGAGTGACCAACCTCCCTGCTGTACAGGAGGAATATGTCTGGCAACCATGGGAAGGAAGGGACTTCCTCATGCTTCCCTGCCACCAAGCAGCCCTCTGCTTTCATTCACTCCACTCTAGCCACACACTGCTCCTTCAAGGTGCAGCCCTACCTCAGGGCTTTTGCACCCACCGTGAGACTTTGCTCAACTGTCCGCGAGGCCTTCCTGGGCTACACATGAACACTGCACCCTCCATTCTCAGCTGGAGTCCCTCAAGCACCTGGCACACACAATCACACACTTAGTCTCTCTGTTTTTAGAGCCTGCAGCAGGCTTGGCACTCAGTAGGTGAAGTATCTGTGGAATGAAGCCAGATAACAGCAACAGCAGGATAATGTTCTAGCTCTCTTAGTTTGTCACATGATTCTTTTTCTTTTTAGGGGGAGGGGGTACTGGGAATCAAACTCAGGACCCTCCGCTTGTGGAGCAGGTACTTGGACCGCTGAGCTATCTCCTGTCCCCATGCTTCTTTCTGGAAACTCACATCCTGCTGATCTCTGGGAATGAGGCCGCTGGGAGGGGCTAGTGTTACTCAGAGGCAAAGTCACCTTGTACTTGTGCTGTCTGGGAGGTGGCAGTGGTGAGTCTCTGCCCCAGCGCATCTCACAGCCTCCTTCTCTGTGCGAGCCCTGGGTGCCCTCTGCTCGCTCTCCCCTGGCTGGAACCGAGACCACTCCATCCTCGGCACCCTCCAGCACCGTGCATGTGATGGGCGCTTCCTGTGCACCTCTGCTCCAGAGGGGCCCCAGCCCTGGCCAAAGACACTGACAGACCCACCCAGGCCTGTAAAATCCTGCCTTCTGACCAGGTTCTCCCAATCTGCCTTGAAGTCTGAAATTCTGAGAAGTGTCTAAGAAAGACTTGAAATTCCGCCCACTCTTCCCTAAGGCTCCTGATACTTCCAGCCTCCAGCTATACCCTTGTTTCCACGCTCTGCCAGGTGCAGATGGCCTTCACTCGATGGAGCTTACTTTTCAGGCCAACAATTAGATTACAGGGGATTTTATGGGCTCTGGAGGCCAAGAACTCTGTCCACACTCAAGTCCAAGAAAATACTCACGGGTGCGTGAATCAATACTTTTCATGGGAACTCTTCTGAACGAACATGTTAGTAACTAAAAAGCCCATTTCCTTTTCCTAGTAAGTCTTACTGTAATGCTTCCTTTGCATGTTTAAAACTTTTTAAAATTTCATTTTTACTTTTTGGCAGCTCTGGAGATTGAACCTAGGGAGCACTAAGCTCTATCTCTCACCCCTCTCATCCCTGCTTTAGATTTTCAAACAAGGTTTCCGTAAATTGCCCAGGGTGGCCACAAAATTGTGATCCTCCTGCCTCCTTCTCCCAACTAGCTGGGATTACAGGTGTGCACCAGCCCATCAGAAAATTTTTATCAAAAACATCTTTTGTAACAAGATGTCACTGCACTCTTAGAGGTACAACAAAGCGCAGCAGCATTTGACACGCATCTACCATGCGCCAGGAGTCACACAGTCATGTTCTTTCTCATTTTTTCCTGGAAACATGGTTCCGCAGTGGGAAAGTTTGCCCAAAGTCACACATGGACAAGTGAGAGGCACAGGCAGGATCTGGACCCAGCTGGTGAACCCCAAGTTTAAGCCTCTTTCACAAAGCTGCTCCTTGCATGACCAAGTGCTCTGGTTCCTTTAGTAATTCCATTTTTAGAAAATTACTCACTGAGAGCACCTGCTGAAATACATAAAGCCAAGTGTACAGGATGTTCATTGTTCCAATACAGGGGGCTGAGGATTTAGCTCAGCGGCACAGTGCCTGCCTGGCAAGCGCAACGTCGTGATTTCGATTCCCAGTACCAGAAAAAAACCAACCTTCTCACCGCCAAAATAAATAAATAAATAAATGACACCAAACTGGAATGCCCCTACAGCAGACAACCAGTTAAGATAAAAGTTGCAATGGAGGTTCATGTGTGCCAAGAAAGACGAGGCAGGAGGACCACATGCATTCTGGCAAGCCAGCCAGCCAGATAGCCAGACAGTTAGGTGAAAAACATAGCCTTGGTATCACCAGGAACCTAAGCCGTCTGTATGTGAGAAGCTCTGCAGAGGCGCACAGGAATCAGGTGTGCCTACGAGCCCGCCTTTCCTGTGGCACAGGCCCTTACCTCGGCCAGTGTTGACAGTGGTGGGACTGAAGGCCTTCCAGACGATGGTCTCACAGATGTTGGTGGCGATGAAGAGGGAGATGCCAGAGCCCAGGCCATACCCCTTTTGCAGGAGTTCATCCAAAAGTAGGACAATTAAACCAGCAACGAAGAGCTGTTGAAATTTTAAAAATGAAAGTAAAGAAACCCAAATAGACTGTGTTACTGCTCCCTGTGGACCTGGTGCCTTCTTTTTCCCATAATTGGGTTTTCTGATATAAATGATGAGGGCTAAGTCAGAGCCTGTCCTCAGTCCTCAGTCCTCCTCTGGTGAGCTCGGAAGGGCGAAGCTCAGAGCTTAGGCCTCTTCCCACACACAGCTGAGGTGCGACCAGGTGTGACAGGTACCAGCACTATATTACCTGGATGGTGATGAGCAGGCAGATGCCGGCGCCCATCTCAGAGGGGTCCCCGTACATCCCCGTCATCACGTACACGATGGACTGGCCAATGGTGATGATCATGCCGAATACTAGAAAGCAAAAGAAGACTGTGTCCCCACTGTGGCACATCACAGAGAACACTCAGCAGGACACTAGCAGAGGAAGCCCTTAGTGAATGCCTTCCCCATGCCCAACACTGGGGAGAAAAACAGTGGCCAATCCTGAGGCTGCCCACAGGACGCCTGAGTAAAGGCTCAACAGCCGAAGCACAGTGCTACACTCAGGATGCCCCCGGGAGCCCCTCCTGGACCCTCGGTCTTTTCAGTCAGGGGGAGTAAAGGAGATGCAATGGGCTAATCTGACTCTGCTTAAAGGTGAATCACACCACAAAATCTATTCAATTCTGTGATGTCACCACCTGTGGCACTGTCGGGTACCTGGGATCTAGATTTTCTGATGCTGAACTACATGTGGGCCACCCTGTGAGGCTGACCAGCCAGGCCTGAGTCCAGAACACTAAGAATAAAATGACCCATAAGTCTTTCTGGTTTTGTTTTTTGGTACTGAGTTGCATCCCAGCCCTTTTTACTTTTTGCTGTTTGACATAGGGTCTCACTATGCTGCCTAGGCTTGAATTTGTGCTCTTCCTGCCTCAGCCTCTTCAGTACCTAGGATTATAGGTGTGTGCTGGCTGGCCCAACTCTGTATTTTTAAAAGGAAAATCTCACACCACTGCCGGTCTGGTTACTGGCCCCATTTCTTTAGCTACCAAGCACTGTGACAGAGCTCTGTGCAGACTGTTTCTTGCACCTCATTGTATTTCATTCTTAAGCACAATGAGACTGACACACTTATGGTTCCTCAATACTAGATGGGTCTCTAAGTTTGGGTGTCAAAGTGTTTTCCAGTTCAGTTTGTCAGGGGAATTGAAATTTTCCTCCAAAGTGTCTGCCAAAAGTCCCTACTTGACTTTTCAAAAAGTGCTCAGTAACCCTAAATTCTTTTTCTCTTTTTTGCTGTGCCATGGATGGAACCCAGGGCCTTACACATTCTAGGCAAATGCTCTGCCACTGAAACATATCCCCAGCCCAACAAGCCTAAATTTTGAAGGCAAAAAAAAACACAAAAAAAATTATCAAGATCAAAGAAAAAAAAATAGTTAATTTGGGGGGCTGGGTGTGGTGGCACACATCTTTAATTCTCGCATTAAGGAGGCTGAGGCAGAACTGCTGTGAGCTCAAGGCCAGTCTGGGGTATACAGTAATACCCTGTCTCAAAAACAAACAAAACCAAACCAGCTAATTTTTGCTTTTGAAAAATACTCCACATATGAATTTTAAAATCTTAACTTGTGTCTCAAACTGACAAGTTTAGGTTAGATGTCTTTCTTGCTCAATTATTAATCTACTAACTTAATATCTGAAAAAAACAGTGTGAAAGAAAAGATGGCTGAGTAGGAAACTGGAAATATCATTTCTTAATTAATATCTTTCAGTTCAGAGAGGCTAACGATAGTTAATTCTGGTGACTGGCCACTGTTACCATTAACACCTAGTATCTGCTCTAAGACCCACAAGGTAAATGCTATTAGCAGCACCTTCACTGTAACAGGTGAAGCTGAACCTTCACAGCTGTCATTTGTCATATGACTTTCTCCCACAGCACAGAGCTAGGAGGTAGCAGAGCTGGACCAAGAGGATCCCTGTTCCCCTCAGTTAAGTTCTTACACTTGCCAAGCGCTTACTAAGTGCTCGGCACCCTGAGAGTGGGCATTCAACTGAATTGTTACAAAAGCCCTAAGTAGATGCCCCTGCCGCCTTTTACACGGTAAGGAAATTGTGGCTAGGGGAGGGTGATTTCCAAACCTGCTGCTTCCATTCCATCTTGCGGCCTCAGGGACCTCCCCTCCCCTGCCTTGTCCACCACTGCGTGGACCAGGCACCTATTGCTGTCACAGGTCACAGAGCACCGGCAGAGTGGCTGGCTAAGGAGGTTCCACAGGACAAAGCACAACTGTTTTAATGCCCCAACTTTAGAGCAAATTCAGATTCTCAACTATAGACATCAGAACATGACACATAAGCTTCCTTACGCTTTTGGGCACCATTGAAGAGAGCTCGGTCTTTTGGGGTATCACCGACTTCAATGATCTTGGCTCCAGCCAAGAGCTGCATGATCAGGCCAGAGGTGACAATGGGAGAGATCCCCAGCTCCATCAGTGTGCCTGGTGGAAAGGGGAAGGTGAGACCACATTAGTTTGGAAAAATGAAACACTGTGTATCAGAATGAATGAGCAAAACTGAATGGATGCCCCTTACGCAAATCCAGCATGTTTCAACTGGCTAGCAACACTGAAGTTGTAACAACCCCCAAATATCAATGATTACAGTATAATTTAATTCATTCTGTTCAGCCTGCCAGACAACATCGTACTCGGTTTAGGAAGTCACATGGTGTCTAAACAGACTGCTGCATTTAAATTCACCATGAACAGATTCATTCTGGGCTCACAGAGATAAGAAAGGTTCGTCTCTTCATCAGTTAATAAAAAAAGGATAACAGTGAAATCATTTCCAGAGTCTGCAGAGGGGGCCAGGGCAGGTGAATCTTGTTGTGAACAAACCTCTACTTCCCATTATGCTAAAATGAGCTATACTTCTGACTGATTTGGAACTTAATTTGAGCTACATTTTTAAAATGAATTAATCAAGTCAGTATCAATATACACATTCAAAATCCTCCCTGCACCCTGCAGGTGACTAGTTAGAAAACACAAAACACTGCTGCGGATTTTTCTGACACATACACATAATCTATAGATATGGAAAAGATGTGGCTGAGAAACAAATTGCACATTCTAAGGGATGTTATCAATGGACACGCCATCCATTTCAGGTATTCACAAGATATTCTAGTTTTCCCATGTTTCTTAAAATTCTTGACAAAACAGACTTATCTTGTTATTACAGGTTTTGTACTGTATTTATACTCAGCCCCAAATATGATGGTATCCTTGAGTGCTGAATGTAGCATTTAATTAGGCCATGCAATGGGGCATGCTGACATTCCTCACTCTTCCCAAATACTTTCCGAGCTCCACAGAAAGCCTTTGCTTGCAATTAAAATGAGACTGGTTGAGCTCACAGTGTGCAGGGAAGAGGCAGAGTGAGCAAGAGTCCTACCCCTGTTAGAGGCTAGAATCACTCTCATCCAGTAGAAAGGGTCAGCTGAGTCTGAAGACATGATACCGAACAGGGGAATCTGGAAATAAGCAAAGAAAAGAGAAGCTGGTACCTCACTTCCAGCCCACTCCTAACCCCAACGCCAATACCAAAACCTGAACCCCGGGCTTTTTACCTGGCAGCATACTAAGAAGATAAAGAGGGTGATGGCTGTCCATAGCACTTTCTCTTTAAACTGAATCTGCAGAAAGAAAGAAAGCATGAAGAGTTCCACAAAGTTAATAAAAATGGATTCATATAGGACCATTTTCTCCATTTACTAGAGAAGGAGAACCATGTACCAAACACAGCACTAAACCCAAGAACAGGTACTGTATGCTGCCCGTGTAGAAGGCAAAGATCTCAGTTAATCCTCCCACAGCACAGCGTCTTCACCTTTATCAGACAATGAGAAAACTAGCTCTTGGAGAGGCTAAGTAATTCGTCCCACATCCCACAGTTGAAAAAAGTTTGGGTCTAAGCTTGTGCTCTTAACCATTTGCCTTAACAGAGTGTAGACCAAAGATCAAGAACATTGTAACAGAAAGTGACTTTTGTAAAACAGACAAGCCTTGGCGACACCTAAGCAAACACTTTTCATTTGATCAGAGTCTGGTTTTTTTTTTGGTACCAGGGAATTGAACTCAGGACCTTGTGCTTGCCAGGCAGGCGCTTATAGCAGAGCTATATCCCCAGCCCTTGATCAGAGTCTCGAAGTAAGAAAATCCTGTTTTTCTGGAGCCAACTAATTTGGAATTTGGGATTGTTCAACAGTGTAATTTTATGATTCAAGGTCAAACCATGTAGTAACCAATACTACGGGAGGGCAGGAAGAACTGCATGTTTAACCGTTACTAGTAACATCTGTTTAACTTCAAGAATATTCTCACTCTTCTAAGTCAAATCGGTGACAAGAATCATTTTACAGATGACCATCAGGCATCACTAGAAAAGTTTAGACCCTTCCTTCCCAAGGCCTCTGTAGCTAACTAGAAGAGTGGAACTATTCTGAGTCTTCGTCTGACATTATCATCCCTACTACAGTACTGGCTGTCTACACCAGCGGAGCAGATGTGGAAGGCATAGCAAACACATGAGTTATTATGCAGACTGAGGGTGTGCGGTGGAATTACCTAATGAGTGACAGTATGAAAGGCCCAAACTGTAAAGGAAGAGAAGTCTGTGTGAGTGCTGGGTCAAAACAGTAGTTGAGCTCTCTACTTCCATGACACAGGCTAGGAAGAAGACACAGCACACCTACCCAAGGAGGTGTGACGTAGGGCGACAGATGCTCCACAGGAAGCCCGGGATTCACAGAACAATTTTGTGCCTTGAGAACACTCCCCTTCGCACTTGTCATCCCACCATATCAAGAAAGTAGAAGTTGCCCAAAGGAAGGCTTTCAGGCTAACCAGTGATGTGACAACCTTGTAATGAAATCAATCCCCATGTGAAAGAGAAAGGTAGACAACTTTTTCAAGACTCCTCATTTTAAAATGATCAAGTCTCGGGGCTGGGGATTTAGCTCAGCGGCACAGCGCCTACCTGGCAAGTGCGAGGTTGTGAGTTCGATTCCCAGTACCAGAAAGAAAATAAATAAATAAAAATGATCAAGTCTCTTCTGGTTACAAGCAAACCTAAGAGCAAAATTAAAAAACTCTTGAAGTCCCGTCTCCTCCGCCTCTTAAACAGCCCCTAAATGCATCTTTATACCACAGCTCTCCCTCCAGTGCAGAAGCCTCTAAGCCACATTCTATTTCTGCTTTACTTCCACAGTGGTCTTGATCTTCTACTCCCTCAGGTCTCCCTACCTACTGCCCACCACCTACTGTTTTACGTCCCAGCAATATGAACTACATCTAATCCCTTCCATCCATGCATTAACTAGTCTTGTCTTTTCTACATCTGCAAAATATATATTCTTGTTATCATGATTCCCTTCTATTCCCTCAGGAAACTTCTTTCCAAACCAGCAGACATCACCTCTGCCAAAGTTTATATGCCACGCTTGCACATGTTGTATTTCCCTTGCCAAGGTCACACGGATGTTAGGAAGCAGTGCGGTGGAAGGGTAGGAGGCCTGCTAGGCTCCAGAGCCATACCCGTCCCAGCCCCAGGACACTTACATGCAGTTTACTCCATGAAAGACAGCTCATATGGAAGGTATTTAGATGAAACTACATATTTTATATAAAAGAGCAAAAGTAGACTCCAAACACCCAAACCTCCACACGGATGCTGACTACACATAAACATATGCTCCTGCATTAATAGTAGTCCGAAAAGAATGCAGAGGCAAGAGGTCTTTCTATTCACCTAATGAAATTTTCCTTGTCAGATAACTTCACCTACATTGGCAACACTCACACTTTTGGACCCAGGCTGTGCAGGCGCAGAAATTCTGATAAAGATTCACCCCAGTGCTACATTTCTCTCTTCCCTTGTTTTACTGCACCTGTTTTTTGTTTGTTTGTTTGTTTGTTTTGCCGGTACCGGGAACCGAACTCACGACCTTGCGCTTGCCAGGCAGGCGCTGTGCCGCTGAGCTAAATCCCCAGCCCCTGCACCTGTTTTGAATAGCCGCGGACTTCACGATACTCTCAGTACTCTGACAGCCTCCATTAAATGTACAAACTTAGTCTGAAGTCACTGTTCTGCCCCTTAGCAGCTGGGTATAAAGGACACTTCCCACTGGGCGAGAAAAACACCACCCGATCTGCTCGAAGAAAGCAGAGTAACTCAATCTGGGGGTGCTGGGGCCTCATTCATCCCCTCTGGGGCAGGGCAAACCTGAGGCTTTGTTCACTGAGCAACAGCCACCAAAGCTGCTGCGAGTCCCGCACGATGACTTCGGGGGCTCCCCACACAAGCAGGCCGCCCCTCCACGGCGCCCCGGCTGTGACAGCGCACGCCGGCCCACACTCCGGGGGAAGACGGAGAGTTTCCGCTTGGCGAGCTGAAGCCATCTTTAATTGAACTGTAAACTTCAGCGCCCAGCTTCGCCAAGCCTCCCGTGAGGACGACGCGGGGAACTTACCTTTCGCTCGGGTTTCTGAATTTCCGGCAGGATGACACAGAAGGGCTTGATGACTTCCAGAAATTTGACTTTGATGAAGGAAACAAAAGATGAGGAGTTAGGACACAGGGAGACCTGCCGCGCCACCCAGGGACGCCTCGTGCCCAGGATGCAGCGGCGCAGGCTGGGCTCGGGGAGCGCGCGGACCGCCGAGGAGGGCCGGGGGATGCAAGGCGCGCGCACAGGGACCCGGGTGGGCCTCGTGAGTGCGCGCCCGAGCGTCCAGGGGAGCGGAGAGGGGTCTGACGCGTCCCGGCAGCACCACGGCCGCCCCCGAAGGACTCACTCGCCATGGCGGCGGCTGCTCGCGCTCCGGGTCCCGCTTCGGCTTTGCTCCGCTCCGAGTGAGGAGACGGCGCTCGCTCCGGAGCACAGCACCTTCGCTGAGAGACACGTCAGTGCTAGCCCCGTGGGGAGCGGCGCGCGCGGGGCGGAGCTGGGGGCGGGCCATGGGGGCCACTTCCGCTTCCTGCCACGCGCGCCGGCGGACCACCGCGCCGCCTTCCGCCGGGACCACATCTCCCGGCATCCAGCGGGGATCCCGGGGGCCGGCTGGGAAGAGGGCGCGGGGCACGCCGGGACTGGGAGTGGGCGGCTGCGCAGACTGGACGCGCGAGAGCCCGGGTGAAGGCGTGTCGCGCCTACGGAGGCCTGGTTGGTGTTGGTTCGCGGTGAAATCCAGTCAACTTCTCAACTCTTTGGAGATGGCAAATAGCCTCAAGGGTCCTTTGCTTAGGGCGCACCAAGTAGGTTTCGGTCACTGTTGAGTAGGGCGAGATGGGGGGACCCGGCGGAACACCCTAGTTTGTCCAGGCGGTCAACAAGCCCGTGGGTGACCTGGGTGAGGGGGCCCTGCCCGCTGAGGCCTAGTGGGCTTCTGAAGACACCGTAGTTCGCACGGGGCCGGGACCGCTCGGGACGCAGTGTGGCCGGCGGGGAATCTAGGAAGGCCTCTTGGAGGAGGAGCTGCTGTACCAAGCCTGCGGGCGCTGGCGAGAAGAAACGAGACGGGTGTTTCAGCTGGAGGAGGCCCTTGGGGCTGGGCGGGAAGAAGGTTCTGGCGGGCAGCGGCGAGGACTGTAGAGGACGACGGGCGGGAGCCGGGGAGCGGTGCCTGGGAGGTGCTGAGAAGCGGATGCCTGGACCCATGGCGGAGCGTGTGGAGACTAATCTGAGGGTAGACTGCTGGGGCGTTAGGCAGGTTTTGTGGAGCTGGATCTCGACCTGGACAAGAAGTTGGAAGTTCGATGTGGCAAGGTGCTTTTTTTGCCGTGTTAAATTAGGTCGTGCTGTGCTTCGCTCCCACCGAATTACAGTGGGGCACTCGGGTAAGCTCAGCAACGAAGCGGCCCCGGTGTGATATCACTTGATATCCATCCCCCGCCAAAATAAACCACGGAGGCAGCGATGACTGTGCCTCTTGGGATGTGACTGAATGCCAGCCCTCAATCTTCACTTCTAGGCTGCATTGATAATCTGTTCCGGAGTTTTACCCGGCAGCCCCTGAACTAAATTCAACATGTAGACCATAGCTGATACTTGGCCAGTGTGCACCCTGCACCGTACTGACGATTAATATATTGAAGTCCATAGTAAATAGTAATTTTTTGTTGTTGTCTTTTTGAGGCAGGGTCTCGCTATGCAGGTCAGGCTGGCCTTGAGCTCGCTTTGTAGCCCAGGCTGGTCTCGAACTCACAGCAGTCCTCCTGCCTCAGCCTCCCGAGTGCTGGGATTACAAACGTGCGCCGCCACGCCCAGCATAGTATAGTAATTGAAATAAATGTTAAACATTGATTAATATTGTAAATCTAAATATCCTTGGTTTGTACTAATTGTGGTAATCTTGTATGATACCACTGCACCAGCGGTGCTGTTGTGAGCTATTAGTACCGCTGATAAGAGGCTTTTTGTTACGGCCGCACCTGAGACACATTCATTTCAGGTTGGCCCCTGTCACTGGAGGAACCGTTGCTGAGTTCACCAGTTTACAGCACTAAGTGGTTTAGGAGCATCATTAGCCTTAAGTACTTTTATTTGCTGGCAGATTGTGATTCATTGGAAAAAGGGTGTGCAAGGTTTTTATATTTATACTTTTTCGTTTTTATTATAAAATATTTAAGTTCCTAGAATGAAGATAACGAAATATAGATGAGTATTTTTTCAGTTTTGGGGCTTGAACCTAAGGCCATCACACTGAGGTATATCCCCAGGCCTTTTTATGTAGTCATGTTTTGAGACGGGGTCTTGCAACATACGATGTGAAGCTGCCCAGCCTGAGCTTGAACTTGTGACATTCCTGCCTTAGCCTCCCAAAGGGCTCGTAAGTGATACCTTAATGGAGATATTATTTATTTTAGCTTTACAAAGGAAATGCTTGTTAGAGTTGGCATTATTTCACTTAACTATAAAGTGGTTGGACATATATGTAAAGAAAGTTTGAAACAGAAGTGGAAGGTAGTTTGTTTTTGTTTTTTGTTTTTTTTAAAAATAGGTACACTGTTTGAGGCATCAATTCCAGGAGAAAAATGATTGACTTTTCTAATATGAAAATGTGTGTGGTGACAAAGGTGAAAAATGTAGTGAACCTTTTCAAGTTTCAACTTTTTTTTTTGGTGCAGTGCTAGGTATTGAATCAGGGCCTTGCACATGCTGGACAAGAACTCTACCACTGTCCTACATACTAAGCCTTCAGTTTCTCAACCCTGAAATTTTGGCCTACTGGTTTGTGAACATCTGTGGATTGAGAGGGAATGAAAAGTTGCAAATTAAGTTAACTGGTTAAAAGGTATTTTCATAAATGATTTAATACCTAAAAGTCTTAGATTATAAGGTCATAAAATATTTAAGTGTAATTGCTATTCATAAGCAATTACAATTAAGAGGATTCAACATTATAAACAATGTCAGATGGAAGTCTGGGTGGCAGTGTAGGACTTAAGTTCTGTTTGTCTTCCTGTTCACTCCTGTTAGGGTGATGTCACAACCCACAAAATCCAGTGTTGCCCATCACCATGTTTGTATTTTGGCCTTCTGGGAGAAGTAGGCATGCCCTACTTTTAATGTACAACTTAGTGCATCACACACATTACTTTGGTTCATATCCCATTGGTTATAACCAAGTCCTGACCACACAGAAAGAGAGGCTGAGAATTTTAGTCTTTTATCTTGGAAAGTTATGCCTGGCCAATTACCATGGAAGAAAACAGGAATGGATATTAAGAGACCCCATCAGTCTGCTGAACAGGTAATACATAGAAATGGGTCCTTGAAAAGATAGAGGTGGGAATTTGGTGGGTAGAGCTGGGCAAAGGTGGCTCCCTGTGGCTGAAATGGAGCGTGACACCGATAGTGCAGCTACGATTGGAGAAGCTAGGTTTCCTAGTTAGAGCAGACATGTGATGAACTGGACAGGTCAGGAGAAATGGTGACTTCAGGAGACACAGGCCTTCCAGTCTCCTGAGAAAGGCCCTCTAGAAGTAGGAAAAGGAAAGGAGGGAAGGCAGGCAGGCCTGACCTCTGGGGAGAATTCAGGGGATTCTCCTGTGGCTGGGATCAGAGGCAGAGGCAGCCAGGCATAGCTGACTATATTGGTGTTCTGCCAACAAGGTATATCTGTATGTACCCATATATGTGTATGTACATCAGAGATATCGGAGAGATGTATACGAGAAACAGACCCAGAGAGAGGGGTTTACTTCTAGGAATTGACTCCTCACAGTTGTTCTTAGAGCCTTTCATGTGATGTCTACTCACATTTTCCAGCACAAACCTTTTTTTTGGTGGCACTAGGAATAGAACCCAGGGCCTTTGCACTGAGATACCTCCCTAGCCCTTTTTATTTTATTTTGTTTTATTTTATTTTATTTTCTATTTTGACTCTGGATCTCACTAAGTCACTAAATTGCCCAGGCTGGAACTTACATGATCCTCCTGCCCCAGCCTCCCATGTGCTAGGACGACAAATGTGCATCAACCCACCTGGCTGAGAATAATCTGTATTTAAAGCAATTGATTGTAGGGCCAGGAATATAGCTCAGTGGCACAGTACCTGCCTGGCAAGTGCAAGGTCCTGGGTTTGATTCCTGGTACCAAAAATAAATAAATACAGAAAGAAAGAAACTGTAGATTAACTACATCAATAAAATGCAGTCAGCCCTCTGTCTCTGTGGAACCTACATTCAAGGATGCAACCAACCATAGATCAAAAATACTGAAAAAATATTGGGGTCTTGGCCTAGCCCCAATCTCTGGAAACAAGTGGATAGTGAACATCTTGAATAAAAGAGACCAGTAGTAGGGTTCTGGAGCTTGCTGCAAGGTCAAAACCCTCTGTAAAGACAAAAGAGCTCTGCTGGATTGCCCATATTTATTTGGTTTTCAAACAAAGGTAGGGGACACTAAGGCAGGCCTGGGAGCTGAGCAGGACCTTGAGAGTCAGTTCAAGACTTCTTCAAGTAGTAGATTTGCCAGTTAAGAGGACGGTTTGATCTCTGAGGTTGGCAGCTTTATTGCTTTGGAATAGGGGGTGTCAGTAGCTGTGTCCCAACTGCCTCAGCTGTGGTTATCTTGACTTCACAGCACTACAGGTATGCTACTTTCCAGCACAGCCAGGGAGAGGTCCCTGTGGTCAGCAGTTTAACCCTGTACAGCCCGGTCTCCAACAAAAAACAAAACAAAACCCTAAACTGCATGTGACTCAGATGTTAACAGACTTTCTTATTTCTAAACAGTGCAGTAAACAGCCATGTAGCATTTCCATTGCATTAATATTGTGAGTCATCTACAGGTGATTGAAAGTCTACAGGAGGATGTCCAGGTTGTAGCAAATATCACACCATTTTAGATAAGGGACACAAACACTCATAAACTTTGGTATCTGAGGAAGTCTGGAACGGATCTCCCTCAGGTACCTGGGGATGACTAGCGTAAAAGCAGCTCCTATACTGGGAACTACCTAACCTTAGTCAAGTTTGCACACAAAACTAGCCAACTTACTCTAGATGCAAAAGCCTGGGGCAAAGAATGTTAACATGGGAGTTACTACCGCATACAAGTTTAGGAATTAGGTTTTGGTCTAAAAGATACAAGACTGAAATGAACCAGGTGTGGTGGTACAGGAGGAGGATCAAAGCAGGGAGGTGGTGCACTGAGGCAGGAGGATCAATGTGAGTTCTAGGCCAGCCTGGACTACGTAGCAAGACCACTTTTCTGTGCTGGAAATTACACCTCTTTATTTTTGTTTTTACTTGGAACAGTTAATCTAACGAACATCCTTGACCACCAGAGAGAGTTAACAGCCGTTGGGAAATAGGCAGTGCTTAATGCTCATAGGGATTTAAGAACTCCCAGTGTGAATTTCCTAACTTTGCCGGATCAGTTAAGACTCAGTTGTTTCAGGTAAAAGCAGC